GGGGAGGGGGAGAGGGAGAGGGAGAGGGAGAGGGAGAGGGAGAGGGAGAGGGAGAGGGAGAGGGAGAGGGAGAGGGAGAGGGAGAGGGAGAGGGAGAGGGAGAGGGAGAGGGAGAGGGAGAGGGAGAGAGATCTGGGGAAAACTTTGCTCATAAAGCTAAATTCTCTGCCCACAGCAGAAATAAATCTGCCAGTTTTCTTTCCGCACTGAGCATGTAAAAAAGAAATGTAAACCTAAACAGAGCATGCTCAGAAATTCGACCAGCCCTACACGTGCACCCCTACAGGAGCTCGTGTGGGTCTCCTGATAAACCCTCTTTGTTCAAGGAGAGCACTGCTTTCAAATGTTAGTGCTCTCCTTGCTCAAGTCTCCCTACCCTCATTTGGTAGTGTGATGGAGCTGTGCACTCACCAAGATGCAAACACATTTTGTCCTGTTACACAGGGAGCAAAGACAAAGCCCTAGACTACTTCTCCTGTCGTCTCCACCTATGTCTTGAGACATTTGCTGAAGCCATCCGAGATCCAGTGCATGCAGGTTTCTACCATGAAGATTGGCTCCACAAAGCATAGAAGAATGGGCAGGAGGAGCAAGCTCACAGACAGCAAAAGACAGCATCCGTCTAATATTTTCAAAGCAATGTTATCATAACCTGAATTGAGAGCTTGTGAGAAGGCCCAAGAGTTAGTGCTGCCAAGCCTGACAACCGGAGTGCCATTCCCCAGACTCCCATGATGAAAGGAAAGAACTGACCCCTACACCTTGTCCACGGTCCTCCAAAACACACTATGGCACAAATGAGCAAGCACTGTGTCCATACTCCCACAGAAGCACAATGTCACAAAGCCCAACAGAGGGCATCAAGGGTCATTCATGCTTTCTCTCTCCTCTTTCCCTCTTTCCCTCTCCCTTTCTCCCTCTCTTTCTCCCCAACCCCCTTACCTTTGGCCACATCACACTCCTTAATCATTTTGAGAAAGTTGTAAATTTCCCTATCTAGTCTCTGTTGACATGTTTGTGCTCTCTGGAAGAAAAAAAAAAGACAAAATTAAAACAAACCAAATAAAGGACTTTCAAAATTACTTATACATTAATGTTTGTATCAAAATTTGCAATTTGGATACATATAACATGATACCTTTACAAAAGGATATGGATAAAACATTTAGTGAAGTAATTTAAAAAGTATTTAATTCCAAACATATTCAACACCAGTCCTGAAGAAACCACCCAACTACTTTATTATGCCATGAATATATAGAGTTAATTTCTTTGATTTGCTAGATCTGAATAAACTCATTTATAAGAGATTATAAATTGCATTTCTTAAGGATATATTTTTAAAACTGTTTTTTGTTTTAAAAAAATCCAGATGGCCCTAACATTTGGAAATCGCAAGCTGATTTTTCATTCAGCATTTTAAATACATGCTGCCACCACCCACATCATCAGACCAAGCAGGACATTTTCTTAACTGAGTTGAAGCTCATAAAAATAACGTCAATTATAGAGAACAGTCTTCCTTGAAATTTACATTTCTTCACAGCACGATCCCTAGAAGTAAAGCATAAATGCAAAGCATCCTCTGACTTGTACCTCAGCCTAGAGCAGATTCAAGGGACAAAATGCAAATTACTGACAGTTTTAAGTTGGTTTTATATAACAAAAAGAATGAACAAGAAATCACTGAAATTGTTTGGCTGTGGTAACTGAAAATATTTATTTTAGCCAGGCAGTGGTGATGCACACCTTTAATCCCAGCACTGGGAGGCAGAGGCAGACAGATCTCTGAGTTCAAGACCGGACTGGTCTACAGAATGATTTCCAGGACAGACAGGGCTACTCAGAGAAATCTGTCTCGAAAATAAATAGCTAATTAAAAAATACCTATTCTGTGAACCATGACCTGGAAACATTGGAGTCACTGCTGTGAGCAGAGTAATGGACCCAGCTTCCTTGCTTTGTACTCATAACCCCAACTGGCCCATCACAAAAAACATTTGCTTATTCAAAATTAAACCCAGTGTAGCAGTGTGCCAAGGTGACACAGGTAGGCACTCTTCTCTCCCATTTCACCTTATAAATTTTTGAACTCTTATAAAGCTCAACCCAACCACAGCAGAATTATTCATGGGACCACATTAGTGACAGGCGGTGTTCTCTTTTAAATTTGTATTATCCCCTCTGCTTTGAGACTCCTAATGACATCTAAATATAACTCATGTTTACTTATTTATTCGAGAGAGAATATTTATTCTATGTAATTTGAAACCACATAAAGAGAGCTGGTTCGTTTGCTCATTTTTTCAGACACTGTCTGTGAATACAGGCTGAAGGGGAAGTCCATCTGGAAACAGTGCAACCAAACACATCTCTCATGACTTACTAATAGAAGAACATTCTCACAGTGCACATTAGGATGCCACTCATGTCCAAGTCAATGCGGCCACCCACTTGTTTCCTTCCCATGATGGACACTGTCTAAGGAAGCACTGGCTCTGTCTGTAGACTCCTTATCTGATGCACAGTATGGCTCCTGAGTGATAACTGAAGGCAAGCCATCCCCTCACCGTGTCATCTTCACATACAAGTCACAAGCCTCTACACTTAGCTTTAAAAAATGTTCCTTTGCTCAATGGTTTAAAATGTACATAAAAGTCAGCTAAGAAAGAGTTCATGAACACACAGTATTAAGATAACTCTTAGCTGACACTAAAAAGGACAGTGGTTTTCAATACAATAAAATAAAGTACATTCTCTAATTTGCTATCCCCCATATTGATAGTTATAAAAAGCAAAAATCTTCTGGGCTAGGCAGGAACCACATACCTGTCAATCCTGATAGTAAGGAAAAAGCTGGGGCCATAGTATCATGACGTCTTGCCCAGCCTGGGCTATACAATGAGACCATGTCACAAACATTAATGCATGTGAATACTTCGTGGCGTCTGGCATGGTGCCTCACTATTGAGTTCTAAACCACTGACATTATGCCAGGGAAGCTGAAGTTTTCAATTTGATTTATTCACTATATAAGTACAATCCTATTATAAACAATGTTCTAATATTAACATCTGACAATACTTTTAACTTTATCCAAGTTATCTATGCAGACTATCTACACAGCAAGACAGACACAGAGGTCTAGTGCCTCAGACAGCTGCACCGGGAGCAACCCATCTCAACTCATCTCCTGTTCCATCTGTCCATACAATCTTTAGCTATCACATCCACTGACAAAGCTGATGCTTTTCTCCATACAGGGCTGGACCTAGGCCCCCAGCACATATGCAGCAGATGTACAGCTCGGTCTTCAAGTGGGTCCCCCAACAACTGGAGCAGGGCTCTCCCTAAAACTGTTGCCTGTCTGTGGAACCTGTTTCCCCAACTGGCCTGCCTTGTCTGGCTTCAGTGTGAGAGGATGCACCTAGTCCTGCAGAGACTTGAAGTGCCAGGGTAAAAAGATCTGGGGGAGGGGGGCCCTCCACTCTCTCAGAGGATAAGGGGAGGAGGTATAGATGGAAGAACTGTGTGAGGGGGTACTGGGAGGAGGAAAAGTGACCAGGATGTTACATACATACATACATACATACATACATACATACATACATACATACGATGATGCTCTTCTCCCTTGTCCTGACTTGGAGGGTCACTTAAAACTGCATATCAAGGGAGTGGGTAACAAGAGAAGAATGAGAAGCGCTACATCCAGGAACTTGCTACTGAGAAGCCACATTTGACTCATTAAGAATGAAGCACAGAACTTGGTACTTTAGAAATAAAAGTAGCTGCTAATATATACAACAGTACAGGGAAAGAAGACAGCCCAGAAGGACCCAGACTGTGTGGCTCTGCTCCCATGCAACATGAGAGCAGGAAATTGGCAGCACTTCTAACAACACTGCCATCAGGAATATCGACGGTGGCTACCTGGACAGTGGGGACAAAACAGCTTCCAAAGAGAGGACCAAGGAGCTTTGTCAGGTAACAAGCATGATCCACAGCTGGTAGGTGAAGGGGTTACGCAAGGCATATATATTTATCAAAAGACATGAAACTGAAAATATAAAATGAGTTCACCTTATGGCATAAACATTACAGCTCAAAAATATTAACTCTACCCTCAAAAATAACTGATGATAGATCCTAATTTTTGCAGAAAATAGCGCAGTGAAGAGTGTACCTAGTGGTCACCTGCAGGGCTTAACTCTAGCCATACTTACCTGAAGACCAGCTGCACTGCCTTCCCTTGCATAAAGCCAAGCACAGCACGCTGGGACTCTTCTAGTACCTGGTGAATAGCCTGGCCCTGCCGCTGTCTTAATGTTTTATGTTGCAACAGATACTCACAGAAAAATAAAAACTAAAATAAATAAAATAAATAAAATAAATAAAATAAAAATAAAAACTAAAATTGTCCCTCACACACCTGAGTGCCAGTCTCGCAGCAGCGCTGTTTGCTGTTTCCTGTCCCAGAGCAGCAGCTGTTCACTTCTCTCCAGGGATGCTCTACCCTAACCTAAATGTGAACCATACATCATCCTACTATATGCTATTTTCTCCCAAGTAGTACCATTTGTTTGTTTCTGGTTTTTTGAGGCAGAATCTAAATGAAACCCAGGATAGCCTGAAAACCCACTGTGTAGCATACTACTCTCAAGCTTTAGGTAAGCCTGCTGCTTTAACCTTCTGAGTACTGGGATTACAGGCAAATGTACACCACACTATACCTGACTTTCTGCTCTTTGCAGACTGTAATTTATCAGTATATTAAGTGTGCCATATTTTATGGATGCATTGTCTTTACTAGTCCCTCAGTTTGTGCATATTTATCTTTCTGTATATTCATTTTAGTTCAGAATCACTTAACTAAGTCAAATAAACAAACTCACTTAGTTCAGTAGTTTAAACTTAGCATTCTATGTTAACTGTTTTGTATATCACAAATGTAGCTGAGATCCCAAAGAATTAAGTGTCATCAACAAACAAAAGCCTCTCTTGGTTAGCACCACCCACAGCATTTGGGAGCCCATGCACTGCTGTCCACTGGGCCTTCTAATGATGTCACACATTCTCTGCCTGCTTCTACCCTGAGCACTTGAGGTGTTTCTGGTTAAAATGAGAAACTGAGCCAGGTGTAAAACTATGCCTGTAATCCCAGCACTCAGGAAGCAAAGGCCAGTTCAAAGCTAGCCTGGGATACATAGCAATATTCTATTTTTAAAAAAAGAAAACAGCCAAAGTGAGTTAGTGAAAACTTAGTGTGATTTTATTAAATTAAATGTAAGCAGTTGTGTGAGGCTGGCATGGGCCATGCTGGTACTGCAAACTAATACTGAGCTTGTCCCCTCCCTCTTCTGAGCTGTTGTTTGACATCCTCTCACACAGCAGGAAATGACTTGTTTCTTTTCTCCTCAGTGTCTTAAGCTCAAGGCAATGACAAAGGCTGAAAGACAAGCTTTTTACGGTTTTTTTTAAAGACCCTAATTAGGAGGGGTGATAAAAATGAAAGAGACCGGTAGAATAGGGTAACTTTTTCAATGCAGACACCACATCCCACATGTCTTGTAAATGTACTTTCTGTCAATGGAATGCTGAGGGAATGGACCAACCTGTACTTAACTCAGATGACTGACAACAATGTTAGTCCAGGCACGTCCTCACTATGGGGACACCAGAAGTAAATTCTGCCCAATTGTCCCAATTCTGCCCCTAGAATTTCCTTTAACTTCACTCAAGAATCAAAGGTATCTTGAGTCTGTCTGCCTAAGCTGTATGCAAACATGTTTCGGGGATCATTTCAGATTTCAACTGTTTTGAACAAGAATGCAGACACTGAGAATCAGAATTCTCCCAGTTACCATTCAAACTCCACTGGACAAAGATGTCTGAAGCTACAAAATCTGAACACACTTCACAGTGGCTAAATTCTCACTGACCTCTGACACATGCTACACAGAAAATAAAACTTGATGGTTTAGAAGTCAAAAGAAAAAATATTTGAAAGGGAATAAAATACAATGTAAATTGAACTGGTAACTGATAATGTGCCTGAAAATTGGAAAAGCATATTTTTTGAAAACTGTCTTTAACCATGTGTCTCAATGGTAAGGAAGCTAATATGTTTTGATTTTACTTATAGTTCCCATTTAAAGTGCCTTAAATTACCACAATCCTGGAAGATACTGATTGTATTGTAAATTCATATACATTTTATCACTCATACTGAGGCACTCAGTATATAAAAAGGCATTCTCTTCATGTAGGAAATATTAATTAAATGTTAAAGCATTTAGCATAATTTTAATTTTTTATTTAAAACTTAGTCACATGTATTTAAAACCTCCCTATTTTTAAAAGACTTATTTTTATTTATGTGTAGGTGTGTCTCTCTATGTGTGAATGTGCACTGAGTGCAGGTACCAACACAGGCCAGAAAAAGGCATTGAGTCCCCTAGAGCCGGCATTATACGGTGTGGGTGCTCAGAACTGAACTCTGGTCCTCTACAAGAATAGCCCTCTCTCCAGCCTCTAGTTTCTAAGTTTTCATGCCATTATTCAAAATGTTCTGATAGATGTTGTTTTTTAAATTCATTTGCTGAAGAGTTATGTTTATGGTTAACACATTACATATTACACTCTAAAATAGTAGAGATAAGCAATCAACAAAGTCTACCAGATACTTTCAACAAATCAAGAATCAGTTCAAATTCTCTCATGTTCTATCGTAAATTAAAATTAGGAATGATGGAGCCTAGCATTTCTTGCTCATCAAAATTAGAGGCTTTTAATGTCAATAAAGCTCTGTAGACATTAGTAAACTTAACTTCAATAGACTTGTTTATTTAGAAGCATGCAAATCCTTTAAATAATTAACTTAATTTTCATATGGTTAAAGTTAATAGTAAAATTCACGTGCTTCGAGATAATCATTTAAACTGAAACAGGCATCCCTCTGTAGTGTAACTCTTCCAGATCCATCAATATTCTGATAAACAAATTAATTTAAAAGGTACACCCAGAAACTAACATCTGCCCCCTTCCTTGCCCCAAATACCTACTGTCAGGAAAGGGGAGATGCTGTTGTCCTTTCAGATAAAAATGTCTCCACTCATTACTGGTGCTTTACCCTATCCTTGAGCAGTGGCTGTTACATATTGAAAGCAGTTTTCAATGAAAGTACTGGCCAAGAAATGCATCACTATGGTTACATTATTGAAACTCTGAAATATGTAGTGAAGTCATAAAGGGACAGGTCAAGCTCCACACTTCCCACCTACCAGAGGCAATTTGCAAATACAGATGTGTTTAACATAAAAACAGACTCAGAATGTCTTAGTTTGGGTTTTACTGCTGTGAACAGACACCATGACCAAAGCAACTCTTATATAAAGAACACAACATTTAATTAAGGGTGGCTAATAGGTTCAGAGGTTCAGTCCATTATCATCAAGGTGGACGCATGGTAGCTTCCAGGCAGGCATGACACAGGAGAAGCTGAGAGTTCTACATCTTTATCCAGAGGAAGTCAGAAGCAGACTGTCTCCAGGCAGCAGGAGGAGGGTCTCTAAGTCCACCCCCACAGTGACACATTTCCACCAACAGTACCACTTCCTATGGGCCAAGCATATTCAAACCACCACATTCCACTCCCTGGCCTCTATAGGCTTGTTGAAGCACGTGAGTCTATGGAGGCCATACCTAGCATACATAATACAAAATGCATTTAATAACTTCAAAATTCCCATAGTCTAAAATAGTCTCTACAATGTTAAAAGTCCGAAGTTCAAAGTCTCTTCTGAGATTCATGCAATCTCTTAACTGTAATCCTTTAAGAAAGCAAACTCCAAACTCTGTATCTCCATGTCTGATGTCAAAGCACTCTTCAGATCTCCAACTCCTTTCATCTTTGTTGACTGCTGTTGGTAGATCTTGCATTCAGCAGCAACAACTCTGTTTTCTTGGGCTGGTTCCACTCCGTTAGTAGCTTTCTTCCATGGCCCTGATATCTCGAATGTCTTAGGGTATCCAAGGCAACTTCTAATGTATGGAATCCACACATGATCTTCTGGGCTCTTCCAAAGGGCTTGGGTCACTTCTCTAGCTCTGCCCTCTGTAGCACTGTAGGCTCTGGTTGACTCCACTCTACTACTGTTCTTGGTGATCATCCCACAACACTGGCATCTCCAATTTGCTGGAGTCTTCACAATAACTAGGCTTCACCAATAGCCTTTCATAGGCTCCCTTCATGGTGCCAAGCCTCAACTTCTTTGCAAGACCCCTTCAGTCCTGGGCTGTCAACTGCCACTGAGGCTGCACATTCACCAGTGGCCTTCCCTGAGCTCTCACAGTGCTAAGCCTCAGCTACTCTCTATGACCTTTCATATTTTCAAAACCAGAATGATCTAGGTGATTCTTACACATTCAGCTGCAGTATGAGGTACAACCTTGGCTATCTCTGGAACACAGCTTCTTTGTGCTCTCAAAAACACATTCCAGAAGATTTCACTTCAGTGATGCTGGTCTCTTCTTAATCACCACTAATGTCTTAGCTCCAGCTAACCAGCACTAATTGTCCCAGTAGTTTCTTCTATCCTTGATCCTAAAGCCAGGGTCACATGGCTGAAGCTGCCGAGTTCTGCTCCTTGCCACGACTGGAACATGGCCTCCATGTTCTATTAAATTGTCACCAGCTTTCTGTTTTCCAACTCCTTCACTGTCTAAACTTGGCTGTCCTGAAATTTGCTCTTGACCTTGAACTCAGGGATCTGCATGCCTCTGTCTCCTAAATTATAGGATTAAAGGCATTTACCACTATGCCTAGACCTAAGCTTTTCACTATTTGGAAGTTGCCTTTAATTCAAAGATCCACTTGCCTCTGTCTCTCAGGATTAAAAGCATGTACCACCATGCCTGGAACTAAGCTTTTCACAGCCACTGTTCCTTAAGATCTGGATCAAAAGCCTGTCTTCCATCTCTGGATTGTAGTTCATTCTTAACTAAAATTCCAAATGAAAACAATAACCATGTCCCTTGTTTAACAGCAAAAGCATAAACAATAAGCTTAGTTGAGTGGGATCTTGCTTTGAGGTCACCAGTCCCTTAATCTGCTTATCTCCTTGAACATAGGGTTCAGCTCCATTCTACTTCTTGGTGCCCCTTTATTCTTTGAACCATACATTTTGTACTTTCCTTTCAGAGCTTGCTACGCGTGATCAAAACCCTCTTCATGAGACTAAACCAGAGAACAAAGTCTCTGCTGAGCTTTTTTGAGAGTTTCTTTGTCACTTCAATTAATATAAATCTCTTTACCTTAGCTAAGGCAGACTCTTCAGACAAAGGCAAAAAGCAGCCACATTCTTCACCAAAATACCACAAAAACAGTCTGTACACTACATACTGAAATTCTTCTTTACTGAAACCTCTTGGGCCAGGTCTGCACAGTTCAAATCACCCTGAGCACCACTGTCTTCCATATTCCTACTAGGCTGTCCTATTGAGCCCCACATAAAGCATTCCACCACTTTCCAAAGTCCCAAAACCCACATTCTTCCAAACCAAAGCATGATCAGGCCTATCACAGCAATACCACAGTCCCTGGTACCAACTTCTGTCTTAGGGTTTTACTGCTGTGAATAGACACCGTGACCAAGGCAACTCTTATAAGGACATTTAATTGGGGCAGGCTTACAAGTTTAGAGGTTCAGCCCATTATCATCAAGGTGGGAGCACAACAGCTTCCAGACAGGCATGGTGCAGGAAGAGCTGAGAGTTCTACATCTTCATCCAGAGGAAGCCAAAAGCAGACTATCTCCAGACACCTAGGAGGAGGGTCTCCAAGCCCACCACCACAGTGACACACTTCCTCCAACAAAGTCATACCTCCTAACAGTGTCACTCCCTGGGCCAAGCTTATTCAAACTACGACAAAGAACATCATAGCATTCTCACCAAGATATTTTATAGTACCATCATAGCAGAGGTATGTCAGCAGAATGCTACTGGACAAAGACCACTATTACTTCTGCTGTCAGAAGTCATAATTTCAAAACCTAGCCCCCAATAGAAAGCACAAGTAAGCTAGTTATGGCAGTTGGATGGTGTCTGCTCACCGCTAATGACTCCTTCAGGTCCACAGTAGAAACTACATCTTCCTCTTCATCATCAGTCACCTGATCCTGGGAACAGTAGTGAGTGCTGTATGCAGAGTGTTCTTCAATTGCTTCCAGCCACTTCTGAAACAACCCAAGAATTACATAACATTTTTACTCCAACGAAATAGTAATAATCTATGAAGCATAGAAGTTACATAGAAGGAATAACTATGGCAAAAATGTACCCACATGACATAATGAGTGTTTCTTGCCTGTGATCTGTCTGCATAGAAAGTTATTCCTGGTGCTCTTAAAATATCATCTATACATATATGTACTAATTAATGCTTAAATATATTATAGAAATTAAGCAATGAATAATTTTTTTCACTAAAAATGACTCATTTCCAACATTGTGGAATCATTTAATTCACAGCAGTGGGCTTGGACACAATATTATGAATTTAAAATAGAAATTATATACACAATAATCTTAAGAAAGCCAACTGCTTGATGATTTCACTTTGTTAAGTTTTAAAAAGAAAATCAGTTTGAAAAAAAGAGCTAAAAATACTTGTTTCTTTACAAAATTGTATGTGGTAATTATTATAATCTTGTGAAATACTAAGAAACAGGATAGCTAATGGATGGTGCTCTGGGTAGAACAGGAGATCAAATGAGGAGGGTCAGGGAGGGACTACAAGAAGGGATAGCTAGAACTAAGGGCAACTGGACATGTTGTATGAAAACCTAATGCAGTAGAAACTTCTCAAAGTATACACATATATGAAAAAAACTAAATGTAGTCACCAAATAATGGGGGAAGACAAAGCCCCAACAAATGAATCAACACTGAAACCTCCAGTTCTGAGAATAGGTTACATCTAATAGAGTTCCTGGCCAAAGGGTCCCATGAATACCCCCAAACAAACCAGGCTACTGCCAAGGGTATGGGATGCTCTCTATAAACTGATGGTAAGGCCCCATTACTGAAGACAGCAACTACAGAACTCACTGAACATGGAGAAATCATGCTGCTGCCAACCTAGCGCCTTCCCCTACTACTTAGTCTTCATGGTACTAAGAGGAAGTCTGCACAGTAGCAGAAGAGAAAGGCAAACACCAGCCCAGCTATAAACCCTTCAGTCAATAATGGTGACCTGCCTGGAGGATATGCAGGTACAATAGTAGCATAAAATTTGTTGATGTAACCAATCAATTACCTGATTGGATTTAAGGCCCACTCTCTGAGATGAAACCCATACCCCATACTGTTTGTGAAGCCAAAAACTTGAGATTAGGCAGGAGATTAGCAAACTACTTTTCTGCTAAAGGAACATAGCAATAAAATGACTCCTAACAACATCCTGCTATACTCATAGAACAGTGCCTTGCTCAGTCATCATCACAGAAGCTTCCTCCTGCAGGAAATTGGAAGAAAAACAGACCCACAAAAGAGCAAAGGGCAGAGAGTGAGAGAGTTTGGAACACCCAGTCCTAAGTGGGATCTTTCCTTCAAGACTTTACTCTCAGAGCTCAGGGAACCTGTGAAAGAGGAGGCAGAAAGATTGAGAGAGCCAGAGGGGATGGAGGACACCAAGGAAAAAGGCCCTCTAAATACAGCAGAACCAACACACATACGAACTCAGAGTCTGTATCAGCACGCATAGACCTTGCACAATCTAAACCAAAAAGGGGCCCCTGAGCTGAGAGGGGAAGTAGACGCAAGTCCCCATCCATAACCCAGAAGCTATCTCTAATTGATAACTGTTCATTAAGGAAACATTAGTTCTCTCCAATGGAGTCTCACTGAGAATACAAACCATCTTTAAAGATAGACCCCCACACCCAGCAGTAGACAGCCAACACAAAATGAACTCAATGGTACCTTTGGAGGTTCCTTGTCTCATAATGCTTTGTCTGAGCACTATTTTTATTTTAACTTCCTTCTTCCTCCCTCCTTCCCTCCCTCCCTCCCTCCCTCCCTCCCTCCCGTCACACAAAACTCCCTCCCTTCCGCCCTCCCTCCCTTCCTTCCTTCCTAAGTCTTTTAAGTACATATTATAGTTTCCAGTGCTGCACTTTTACAGGATTTGTGTGCATCTCTGTTTCCTTCTCTGATCTGAGTTTCTTTCTCTGATCTGAGTTTCTTTCTTTGCATCTGTGTTTTGCATGCTTTTTCTCCTGGTATTTTACTTACTTCATCCTATTCCAGTTTATTTGTTTCATTTTATTATTATTTTAGATGGTTATTTGTAGTCTAATAACTCTAATAATAGAAAGGGTATGGATTTGGGTTTGTGGGGAGTTTAGAAGGATCAGGGAGAAACTGGGGGAGAGGAAAGTAAAATCAAAATATATTGTATGAAAAAATATTTTCAATAAATAAATAAATTAAATTAAAATTAAAATCTGTACTCCACCAAACTGAAAATCTAAAAGAAATGTATATTTCTTGACATATACAACCTACCAAAGTTAAAACAAGATGAAATATTCAATTTAAACAGACTAATACCCCTAACAAAAAAAAAGTTATTAAAAGCCTCCCAATCTTAATAAAAGTCCAGAGCAAGATAAGATGAATTCAGCACAAGAATTCTACCACAGCTTTAAAGAATTAATGTCAATATTCTTGAACTATTTCACAAAATAGAAACTGAAGAAACATTTCCAAGGTCATTTTACAAGGCCACTATTACCATGATATCAAAACCACACAAAGACCCAGTAAGATTGAAAATTACTGACTAATTTTCTTTATGAATACACAAGCAAAAAAGAACAACTCAACAAAATACTTACAAACAGAATAGAAGAACATATCAGAAAGATCATACACCATGATCAAGTTGTTGTCATCCCAGAGATGCAGGGATGGTTCAACACAGGTAAATCAATAAATGTGATCCACCACATAAACAGACTGAAGACAAAACGGCATGACCGTATCACTAGATACAGAGATTGCCTTTGACAAAATCGAACATTCTCTCATGATAAAAGTCCTGGAGAGACTAAAGAATTCATAAGATATACATTAACATAATAAAGGGGGTTTACCGCAACCCTACAGCCAACATCAACCTAAACAAAGAGAAATTCAAAGCAGTTCCACTAAAACCAAGAACAAGGAAAGAGTTTCCATTTTCTCCATGGCTATTCAATATAGGACATGAAGTCTTAGCTAGAGTAGTAAGTCACCTGAAGGAGGTCTGCAGGCTACACAAGTTGGAAAGGAAGAAGTCAAAGCATATCTTTATCTCCAGATGATATAATTTTATACACAAAAGACCCTAAAACTCCATCAGGAAACTTCTATAGTTGGTAAACACTTTCAGCAAAATATATGGATATAAAATTAGCACATTAAAAATTAATAGCCTTCCTATAAACAAATGACATATAGACTGAGAAAGAAATCAGGGAAATAGTACCTTTCTCAATAGCCTAAAAAATTAAATTTTAAAAAATTTAATTGGATAAGACTTGATAAGACTAACCAAGCAAGTGAAAGACTTGTGTAATAAAAACTTTAAGAAACTGAAGAAACTTAAGAAAAAAAATCAAAGACGCCAAAACATGGAAAGATCTCCCATGCTCTTGGTACAGTAGGATTCAAGTTATGAAAATGACTATCCTATTAAAAACATCTACAGATTCAACAGAATTCCAATACAGTACTTTGTGGAAACTGGAAAATATTTTTCAACTTCATCTGGAAACACAGACACACAAAAGAAACAGGATAGCTAAAACAATAGTGAATAAATTAAAAACTGCTAGAAGTATCACTATCCCAGATTTCAGGTTGTACTATAGAACAAACAGCATAATGTTGGCAAAAAACAGACACACTGATCAATGGAACTGAATCAAAGACCCATACATAAGTTCACATACCTATGTAAACCTGAATTCCACAAAATCAAAGATACACACTGAAGATAAGACAGCAATATCAACAATGATGCTGTTCAACCGGATGGCTACATGAAAATAGACCCAAATTTAGCATCCTGGTAACTCAAGTCCAAGTGGATCAGACAAAAACAGACATCCTGAATGTGGCAGAATAGAAAGTGAGGAACAGCGTTGAAGTCACTGGAAAGAAAGGGGCTTTCTGAACAGGACAACAACAGAACAGGCACTAAGAACAGCAATCAACACATGGGATCTCATGAAACTGAAAGCTTTTTAATGGCAAAGAACCCCATCATTTAGGCAAAGCAACAACCTACAAAATAGGGGAAATTTTTTTTTTACCAATCATACATCTGATAGAGGGTTGGTATCTAAATTATACATAGAACTAAAAGAAAAAATCAACCCTTAAGATCAAGAAAACAACCCACTTTATAAACCTGTGTACAGAACTAAGCAGAGATCTCAAAGGATGGAGCACAAATTGCAGACACACACTTAAAGAAATAATGTTCAACATCCTTAGTCAGCAGAGAAATGAAAATGGAAACTACTTTGAGATTTCGGATTATACTAGTCAGAATGGTTAAGATCAATAAAACAAATGACCCCTCCTGCTGGTGAGGTGTGGGGAAAGTGGGACAGGTATCCATTGCTGGTATATAAACTGGGCATAGATATTCCTCAAGATCCAGCTATCCCACTCTTGGACATACACCCAGAGGCCTCAACACCACACTTCAGACACTTGTTAATCTACATTCATTGCTGTTCTACTCACACTAGCCAGAAATTTGAAATAGCCTTGATTTTAGGAAAAGTGAAAGAATATAATGGTGGGTGGGTAAGAAGGTGCAGAGGACAGAGAAATGGAGGGAGAGAGAAAGCAGGTTTAGTCTATATTGTAATTACACGCAGAACACATATTCTGACATACAAACCACACACTCTTGGGCAATTTTTTTTTCTGTGCTGTGATTTTCTTATAAATTAAGGGAGATGCTTCTAAACAATCATTTAATCTTATTTTCCCCTAAGTAGGTATGAGTTAAAATAAAAATTTATAAACAGAAAATATCTACCTACAACTAAAATTCCTCTGCCAACCTTTAAATATGACATTCCCAGTAAACAGTATCCTGCAGGCTGGGAAGATGACACAAGATTGCACCAGCACAAGGACCTGAAGCCAGTGTTCAAAACCTTTGTCAAAGCCTGGTTATAACAAACAAACAAATGTGAGGGCGCACACCTTTGATCTCAGTACTTGGGAAGCAAAGGCAGGTAGATCCCCGAGTTCAAAACCAGCCTGGTCTACAAACCTAGATCTAGGACAGCCAAGGCTATACAGAGTATCCCTGTATTGAACAACAACCCCAGGTTGTCCCCTGATCTCCACATGCACACACATGCACTTGCACACATATGATTATGTATATACACACAAAGTGAGAACATACAAAAATAAATAATCCAAAACTCTATTTTTAAAACAGTAAGGAATTGAAATGTATCCATGGGTAGATGTGCTCACTACACAAGCTACAGGACATGAGCTCTGGAATCTAGTCAGATGTGGCAGCTCACATCTGTAACTGCATCACTCCTGTAGTGGGATGGGAAGAGAGACAAGACAATCACTTAGCAGCTAGCCTGGAGTACACAAAGGGCAGAAAACAGAGCACTGCTTCATCTAGATGGAAGATAAGAACCGACTCCCAAGAGTAGACCTGGGGCCTCCACACAGAGAGAGCTGTACACACACACAGACACACACACACACACACACACACACATACATTTTATATTTATTATTTATGTATCTACATCTAAGTGTGCCACAGCACAGGGGTCCTAGATATGAATCTTATATAATCATTTTTGGTGTCCAGTGTCTTGATGCCCTGGGCCATCTTATTGACTTACATTCTCAACAAATAAATCAGTCTTAATCAGTATTATCAACAAGATATGATCTTAGATGTTAATACTGAGTATTCATTCATAAGTTCTGGAAAAGAGTCAATGCATAAGGTTACCTCTCTTGATTGCTGTAGGCTGTTCTTAGGAACCCTGAAGCCATGAACAGTGTCATCAAAGCATCGAATAGAGAAGAGACAGCTATCTGTAGGTTTTACCTGCATATAAAGAAATCAGAAAACAATGTTTACTCACTGGAAACAATGTCCTTGAAATTATCCTTCACAAATATAACATTTTAGCACGATGTAAGAACACTTAGTGGAGCAATCTGAAAGGCTGATAAATGTCAGAAGTGGATCCCCAGGAGATGCAAGGCATAGCAATAGCTTATCCACACCAATCCTGCCATCAGCGTGCTCATTCCAGAAAACACTCAGGGTTTACTGTGTTTGTGGCCTTAGGTTTACCATCAATTAAATGTAAATTAGTATGTACTTGGGCTATAAAATCCTCTACATATCAAAGCTACAATCTCTTCATACCACTCTTGAATGTTTCCTCTGTGCCAAATGTGGAAAATGTTTTAGCTGAGTATAAAGGGATAATTGGTAGGTAAGGTTGAAGATGAGGTGTAGAGGAGGTAAAAAGAATGAGGAATGGAGGCGATTTAAAAGCGCAAAGGTTGGACTTCTGTTCCAAGGCCCTACTCCAGGAATGCCAGTAGAAAACAACTGTGAAACAACTTTGTCAACCCTCCCTCCACTGTCCCCACTCAAAACCAAACCCGCCACAGAAGGAACTGGAATGGCAACAATCATCCACAGACAAGGAGTGTGGGCTCTCAAAGGAGCCACAGTCAAAAGGTACAGAAGTCATTCCCATGGCCCAAGGCATTTCAAGGGCACAGGTGAAACAACCGTCTGTCCATCTTTGAGAATTAATAAGGCAAAGCTAGACAGCCACAAACACTCAAGAGCGCATGACAATCTCCCAGAGAAATAATCTGGAGATTTCCATCTATCATATCACTAACTGATCTGGGAACTGCACATCACAGATTCAAAACAACTCACCCAGACAAAACCAATCTCAAGTGAGACCAGAGGCTGCTCAAGACATGGGAGATTATACTTCAGAACAAGACAAGTGACAGAATCCACTCTCCAGGACATACCATGCATTATGCTAAGGATATCACTGTAAGTGACCTAACATGAGGAAGCAAGTAAGCAAAAACATATTTAATGTTTTAAATAAACATATGATTAATTAAAAGTCAAAAACTGTCAGAATGGAAATAGAAACTATATATATATATACAGAAGAAAGATACAGATAGGTTCAAAGTAAATGATAAGTAGTCAAACGCTCAGGCTGATCATAAGAACATCAGACAAAAATCAATTTTAAAACAAAATGTCAACTAGGAAAACATCATCAACAGGTATGCAATCAGTAACAGTCACAGATGTAGAACTCATGCATCCCAATACTTCATCAATTGATAATAACTAACAATAAACTAGAGAAAACAAATGATGTGAATACCACCATGACTCAACTTATAAGACATATTACTTAACAATAACAATATAAATACCCTTTATTTTATCTATTTATTGTGTTTGAATTTTTTGCACGTGTGCATATATACACACCACATCTGTGTATGGTGTCTGCAGAGGTCAGAAGAGGGTGCCAGATCCCCTAGTAATAAAGTTACACAGTTGTGTGCCACTTACATAGGTGCTAGGAAATAAACCAATATTCTCTGCAAAAGCAACAAACGCTCTTAGCTGCTAAGCCATCTATCTTCCCGGCATCAAGTACAAATGCACTATTATTATATTACATAAGTACAGTTATTGAACAAGCCTCAGTAAGTCTGACAGTATAGAAATCATACAGTGTGTGTTCTAAACCAATTGGAATTATTAATCCAGAGCAAGATAATCAAAAAAGCCCAAGTATTTGGGGGTTAAACATCACACTTCTAATTTTTAGAATTATTAAACTGGCTCTAAGCAGAAATCATAACATAAACTAGAAAATAGTTTAAATGATAATGAACTAAAACCTACCATAGCTAGTGGGGTAAAACAAAAACCAGCTACCAATAGTAAAATATGATTTGAAGGATCTGTTAGTAAAGAAGACTGATCTCCCTATTTTAAGTTTCAACCATAAGAAACTATGACAGTATGCACAAGGTCCGGGTCCAATCCTAGTTCCCAAACAAAATCTCATCAAACTATGAGAAAACAAACTAAATCCAAGCAACTAAAGTTTTTTGTTGTTGTTTCTGTTTGTTGCTATTGTTGTTGTTGTTGTTGTTTTTAATGCCATGCATAACGGCGCATGCTTGCAATCCTAGCACTTGGAGCATAGAAACTGGATGATCAGAAATTCAAGGTCACCTTTCCTCCCCTACACAGTGAGTTCAAGACCAGCCTGAGCTACATAAAGCATCCTCCCTGTTGGGTTGTACTTATGCTGAAAGGTGCTATGAGGCTGTTGGGGAGTAGTCAGCAAGCTATCCTTACCCACTTTTAGACCTGAATGCAGTACTGCTGACAGGTCAGACAAGACGCTCCCAAAGGCACAGTAGTAGAAGGCCTATTACATGGAAAACAACTACCCTCTGACTAGATCTTAATCCTGACCCACAGGAGGAAATCCTCATCTGGCACTGTGAACACAGTGAGAACATAATCCCCAGAATAATGTCTGGGGATTTCATAGGCCATCATAGGGAAGACATTGCTGTCATTTTGCTAAATGAAGATGATGTGCCCATCAAATTACTTCCTAAACAACTGTATTTATTCTCACAGATTACTATTGCTACCATCTCTGGAAGAAAAGAAGCTTCCTCTTTGCAGAGGGCAAAAGTAACTACAGAGGTTCATAAATGGTCAAAGTAATGAGAATAAGTGATACTCTAAAGTTCAGCCATGAAGAGAACATGTGTTGTCACCACCACCATCAACCCCCAACCACCACCATCAAGGTTCAGGAAACCTTGAAGAAAGTACAAAAGACTGTAAAAGCCAGAAGAAGGGCAAATGGTGCATAGAATATAAGAGAGGAAGAAAGGGGGGAGAGGAAGAAGGAAGAGGAGAAAGAGGAAGAGGAGGAGAAAAAGGAAGAGGAGGAGAAAGAGGAGGAGGAGGAAGAGAAGGAGGAAGAGGAGAAGGAAGAGAAGAAAGAAGAAGAAGAAGAGGAGGAAGAGGAGGAGGAGGAGGAAAAGGAGGAGGAGTAGGAGGAGGAGGAGGAAGAGGAGGAGGAAGAGGAGGAAGAGGAAGAGGAGGAGGAGGAAGAGGAGGAGGAAGAAGAGGAAGAGGAGGAGGAGGAAGAAGTTGGAACCACAATATAAGCCAGTAGGTCTATTCTTAGGCATATATTCTCAAAATAATTTCTATCCATGCTCATTACATGGGTAGATAGAGTCCGCAGTAGTCAAGAAATTTAAAGAACTAAATGTCCACTGACAGCTGAATAATGAATAAAGAAAATGTGGCATATGTATACAAAGGCATAGAACTCTGTAAGAAGGAAGCTTGGTGGCATACTAGGACATGGATGAATCTGGAGGACATTATGCTAAGTCAAACAGGCTATCACAAGAAGACAAGCATGATTCTACTTATGTATGGGACCTGGAACGGTCAAGTTTATCAAATGGAGAGTAGCTGGATAGCAGGGGCTGAGAGTGAGAGTTCCAAATCCAATAGAGTGCCCATTGGGAGACGAAAAGACTTCTGGGACTGCGTGCTATTCAAACTAGCAGAGTAATTAAGTGTACTTAATGTCACTGAACCATACAGTATAAAATAATTAATGTTAAGTTCTATATATTACAAATATTTTATTATAATTTTTAAAGGTCAGTTAAGGATAGGAATAGCTGTATAAAAAATCTCAATCAACCTAGGTATGTACACTATGAAGGAAGAAATTGAGCACAGATTGATCCGTGTGAGTATTTAATGAGTCTCTTTATCTTGTGCTGACACAATTCACAGGTAAAGCTGTAAGCAGGCCACTGCATAAGAAATTAGAAGTTGTAAAATAGGCAGAGGCACAACACAACAGGACCGAATCAATTCCACAGCAGCTAAAGTTTTAAAAAAGAAATGAGAGAAACTAACAAGTTTACTTTATAAAAAAATAAACTAATAAAATGATGGCAACAGAGTAAGAACCTTAACGTAGAGCAGAGCCAAGGGCGGGGAGTGAACACTCAGCAAGGCAGCGGACAGGAAGGACAGGGTGAGCATGGCAGAGCCTCAGTCTGCTATGTCCAGTGAAGACAAGATGGAAGGGCCTGGGAATGGACCAAGTGGGTCACTGTGTGTTCTGAATCAATGCGGCAGTTCACTCAATTTGTAACCTTTCAAAGGGGAGTACGGCAGTGCAGAGCACACTGAGGTGGAGAGCAAGATACATGCACCTGAGGGCAGGCAGGCCGCTACAGTCCAAGGTACATGATAGTACACTTACACAGACAACCCTACTGCACCTAGGTGTATCTGGGCTCCTCATTAGCCCAGAGACATCTCAGTCTCCTACAGAGTTAAATAAAACAGGTGGGAGTGAGAACAAGGAACTGATTCTGACACAGGCTTTAAGTTTCATCGTAATCCCAGAGACCCTTCCATCATCCAGATTTACCCATGGAAAAGACGCATGTACTTCCAGTGTTGTCAGCTGTCTAGATTGTTTTAGATCGCCTGTTCCAAACACAAGTGGAAAGAAACAAGTTGCCTCTGTGTGTGTGTGTATGTGTGTGTGTGTGTGAGCACGTACGCACGTGTGTGCCTGCACATGCACAAACAGAATCTTTAACTTCAACTGCTCTCAAATGTGAAAGCCCAGTACCCCATGGAGTCTCCTGAGTCTGCAATGGTTTGGACAACCCACTGCAGCACTGACGTCAGTCTTTACAAACACACGTTTCATCTTACCGTGCACACCGCTTGAGTCAGGTGTTTGCATCCTTGGCGGTAAGAATTATGGACTGCATCGGGCCTTGAAAACAAAAATTAAATCAAGACAAAGAGAAAAACTTAAATGAAAACTTCTAATATTTTAAATGCTATATTCTAAAACTTAGAAGTATAAAGACAATACTTACTGTTTCCTATACCAGGAAAGAACTCCGTGTTCTAACACTACCCAGAATAACTTCCAGCCAAAAAATCTTGAACTCTAAAGGAAAATGACAAAAATTTTCCATGCTGATGTGTCTGGATTCAAATATGTAACTAAGGAAAATTAATTAAGCTTAAATAGACATATCTGAGACTTCCTCCTAGACAGGAGGACTGAACAATAAATTGTAATAAATTTGAGCTCAGATATTAAATGCAATGATGTGAACAAAGCCCTTTCTACAGGGTGTCAGAACACAAGAAACAGTGCCACACTAGGAAGGTCACAGTTTGTGGCTCTAAATGTTCTGTTCAGGATTATCTACAGAAAACAGCAATTCTTGGCCTTAAACACAACTACCTCAAAGTTGTGACTGAATGTCTAAAAAGAGTTAACCTAAATCCATTTATATACTTACATACAAAAAAAATTCATATATAGGAACTACTTATGGATGCAAATTGTAGTAAGCACCACAATGATTTATTCTAGAAAATAACTAAATTCTAAAACACAGAAATGTTTACACCAGGAAATGTCCTTCCTAGGACAATTCAGGAACTAACTTTCCATGAAGTCTTCCATAATTTGATGTTTATAACAAAAGCAATATTGCAATTATGACTTAATGAGAAAAAATACTTTCCTCTACTCCTCTCTGTTAAACTTAATCACTTTAAAGCACAATCACCCTAAATGAAGTGATTGATACAGTCTACAGAGGCCTTTGAAACGCACAAGTAAGATACCAATCTTCTATAGAGATGTCAGCTTGTGAGGGGTAGAACCCAAAAAACCCTTCATGACTTGAAAATACTGTAACTAAAAATATTCATTTAAGGGCTGAGAATGTAGCTGTGCGGTGGACATCTTACCTAGCACACAGAGGCCTTATATTCAATTCCCAGAACCACTAAAAAACATGAGTCAAACAAGCATTTAGTACTTAAGCCATCCAGCACTATAGCTTAGCTCAGAACGCTCATTTTTACCTTAGCTACAACTGAACAAAACCATCTCACAAGGAAGCATATTCCATAATAAACTGGAAAGTGTCCCAAGAACATACATGGACAGGCTTTTACAGCAACACTAAGATCCACAAATACAAGCTGAGCTTCCAGTGTAGCTCGGGGCAGAGAGTTTTCTGAGCCTGCACCTGCCTGGAGATGTACACTGTGTGTATATGTTGGGGTGGGGGGCAGGGGGCGGCTAAAACATGCAAACCGTTATGGAAAGCAAGATGGCAACGCAGCGCCATGCAGTCTTAGCTGGCCTCATGGCCACATGGCTGACTAGGAACTGCAGCCCACCAGCACTGCCCAAGCACAAGGCAAGAACAGATAAAAATTCCAAATCAGAGTATAGGTGCTACCAAGTTCACATCTTTATATGGCACTAAAGAGTAAAAACCTCATAAATCATGGTCAGTCAGGGACACACGGTAAGTCTGAAAAAATTGGAAAAAAAAAAAAAAAGACCAGAAACAAAGCATTAAGAATCCCTTCCAGGGCTGGAGAGATGGCTGAGCGGTTAAGAGAACTGGCTGCTCTTCCAGAGGTTCTGAGTTCAATTCCCAGCAACCATATGGTGGCTCATAACCATCTGTAATGGGATCTGATGCCCTCTTCTGGTGTGTCTGAAGACAGCGACAGTATACACACATAAATAAAATAAATAAATAAATCTTGAAAAAAAGAATCCCTTCTAGCCTCCTACTTAAAGCCCCGCCTACCTTCCAGAGAGGGCCTTCATAGCGTCTCAGTGCTTTGTGGACAACCTGCTGGAAACACATTTCATTAAAGATGCATCTGCAGAGCTGAAACAGTCATTCAATTCTTTTCAAAAGACTTAATTGCTTTAGGAAATTAGAAATTTAGACATTTAAGGAATTAGAAATCTAGCAGTTCAATCAATCAACACACACCTTAGAAACTTAGAAATTTAAGATTTAGTTCACCAATACATACCTTATTACCAACAAGAATATGCTTCATTTCAGCACCATGGGCAAGGTCAAGAGGTTTCTGATCTGTGTACAATATAAGGAAAAATGTCACTATGTCAACTACACAAAAAAATTTACTACAACTGTACCATATAATGCTCCTTTGTGCTTTCAAAAACTCCTCCCCACAAGCTAAACATAAATACAAAATCACCTGCCAGAAGCTGCCCTCTCAGTTCTTGAAGGCCTCCTGCTAGGGGAGCTATTAAGTCAGAAAATCTGACTGTCCTCAGAACACTCTGTATAGGTCACATAACCAGGCAGGGTTTTGTCCATAAATGATTGATGAAACAAATTACCACAAGTTCACCAATTTAAAACAATACAGACTTCTTATAGTCAATTTGTTTAAGCCTTACATTAACTTGTTAACTTATGGTTTACTATTCAATTTTTTTAGGATTTATTAATTCTATATATGTGAATATAGTGCAGCTGTCATCAGATACTAGGCAAGAGCACTGGACCCTAGTACAGGTTGTGAGTTGCTGGGAATTGAACTCAGGACCTCTGAAAGCGCAGCCAGTGCTCTTAACTGCTGAGCCATCTCTCCAGCTCAGCTGCTCAATTCTTAAAAAACAAACAAACAAACAAACAAACAAAAACAAAAAACCCAACCAAACAAAAAATATCGTATGTATTAGTCACATTTGTTTCTATTTCTTCTCATGAAATTTGTTATGTGCCCCAATCACCATTATAAAGTACCAGTGATTTACAATGAACAACACAGGACACAGTAATAAACTCATACTAAAAGAGATATAACAGGTAATAAACCATGGTATGCTAACATAATTGTGACAGATTCGATAGACAATACTACCACTTCAGGTAGAAAGTGAGAGACTGGTCCCAGACGACCTTGCTGAGGAAGGGATGGTTACTGGAAAGGATCTTGTGAAGACTCAGGGGAACAGCTTATGCAAAGGCCCCAAAAAGGAGGCAGTGCGCACAGAGCCAGATGGCTGTGAGCAACCGTACGTAAGCTGTGTTTTCTAGACATGATGGGAAGCCTCTGGAAGGTCTCAGGACAAAAAGGAATATAATTTGACTGATGTTTAAATTCTGTCAAAGTGCTTACATGTAAACTTTGAGAAATTACAATATAACTGACTGATCCTATTACAGTGCTTCATGTTATCAGCTCTACCAACATAGAAATTCATATGCCATACAACTAACTTAAACCACACACCACACAATTATAATTTGAAGGGCATAATTAAGCCATCCTTAATACACTCAGACTTGTACACCTATGACACGGTTGTTCATGGAGTCTTTATCTTCTATTAATATAATAAAATATTTATCCAAGGAATGGTATGCTCTCTGGAATGGCTTCAAGATAATCCAGGTGTGGGGAGGGATGAAAGGAGAAAGGCCATTGTTTTTAATCGAGAGACAAGATAAGGAGCTTGACTTTGTTCTGAGGCAGATTGCCAGAACTGCTGATGTGTGAAGCAGGGGCTGCTGACACCTGCTTCTGAAATGAGGAGAAAAACTCTTTTTTAAATGTTCACTGAGGAACTGTCATCCGTTCAGTCTTTCTACACAGCACCTAGAAAGACAATGGTCTGCCAATTCTGATATCCCCACCGTGTCTGCAGGGCCCTTTTGAGAAATGATCCTTCCAGCAGAGGGGAAAATGACAGTATGATTTCTTTCATAAAAGTCTGCCCTAATGCCAAAAATAAATTCTGAGCTGCTGCCAATTGGATGAAACCTCAGCCTCATCTCTGGACTCAATATCTGCAGGGCTAGGCATACAGGAAGAACTCAATAAAGCACACTCAGAAGTAAATGAACCAGCAATTTCACAAGAAAAATGTGTGTGTGTTATCAAAACAAAAGAAAATGAGTGGAATAATAGGATATTAGAAAACGCATGAAACATCTTTGTCCGTTAATTGAAAAAATACCACCCCACTTCAAATTAATTTGCACAGAAGGAGATCTCAGTTTAATCCCATCCATACTTTTACCAGGAGCCTAACATCTTCACGTGCAGCTGTGCATGTACCACAGCATCCAGATCAGCCACTGGATGCCCAGAAGAAAACCACAAATGCATATAAAGCGTTCCAAAGATTAGCAGTTTTTTAACATCATCTTTATGAATGCTTCAGTACACAGCAAATCTGCCTACTACTAAAAAGGAGGTCTAACCTCAAAGTCAATTATTTGAGGCAATTTTTCGGACATTCACAGATATTTCCAAAGTAGCAAAACTCTGGATTTCCTAATGCTGGCTTTCCTAGATTGCTCTACAAGCTAAAGTAGAACAAGGTAAAAGGTGGCTTTTTCCTGTCCATCTGGACAATGATCAAGTGTCCCTATTTCAGTGTATTAGGGTCATGTCTCAATGTGTTTTGCCTTTGACTTTCTCATATAAAATGGCCCCAAAGAACCACACTGAAAGGCTTGGCCAGTGTTTCTAAGTGCAAGCTATGACGTACCTAAGTTAGAGATGCTGCACTCAGACTAAGGTACTGCTGGCCATGACCTACATTAATAGACCAGCACTACATATTACAGAAGGTGATCTTAAACCATAGCACTTATAAAGCAAGGCTGTATACTGACCACTGGATGAAAAGGCCATGACAAGAGGCTCCTAATAATCTAACCCTGGGTTCTCCTATGACAGCACTCCAGCATTCTCTAATTCTGTATTGGTGGCAACCTTATAGTATATAACTGCTACAAACAACAATAATCAATCACAGCTGTCTTTCCTTGATGGTAGGAATATCTTCCTCAACAATGGTCTCATTTGAAGTATGGACTGCATTACTAGTTACGTTTTATAGGAGAAGAAAATGTCATTCTTCTATTTCTGCAAACGTCCTTATGTAAACAGGACACCATCAATTTAATAAAGGCTGGACACCAAACAAACTCATTTGTACACTGCTGATTTCATTTTTGGAGTCAAACAACCAAGGATGACTCTCATCGGATATGCTCACCGTTCTTGTTCTTCAGGCTGGGGTCAGCTCCGCTTCTCAGAAGCTTTAGGACACACTGCTTGTGGGCCCGGTAAGCTGCACAGTGCAAGGGAGTATTTCCTAACTGATCTGAGCAGTTCACATCAGGAGGATTGGGCCTGCTGAGCTAACACAGGAAGGCAATGTGATTACATACCAAAGACAGGCTTCCCTCACAAAACACAGAAAGGCTGCAAGCAGAGCGTGCAAACAGCAGAGATGGCAGGTTTGGACACTGTGCACCTTTGGCTCAGTCTGCAGCTGAGCCATGCTTGTCCTCAGCAGGTAGAAGATCTGAGGTCTATGTTCTGGCACCAAGCACAGCAGCAGTGCTGCCCCCCCACCTCACATTAAGATATCACTAACTTGCTCGTTCCCAACAGTCTTGCATTTCATACTCGTGACAGCAAAACTATAAATCAAACATCGACCAACAGTCCTAAGAAGAGCTAAGCCCGAGATGCTAGAAGCATAAATGTCAAGGCTCTGCTGAATTTGTCCTTCCCACCTTACTGCTTTAGCAATCTCTATAGAGTCTCTATCTCAAAAAAATTTTTAAAATGTTGCAGGTGCTATACTTAGAAACCAAAGAAATGCTTTCAAGTGAGCTAAAATAACTTTAAAGCAAATGGCAATGCTTCAGTCTTGAATTCAGAACAAATTTAGAGTTTCATATTTAATGAGACCATGCAGGAAATGGAAACAAGAAAGTAGGTCTCCTAAGAAGAAAAGAAAAGTAGGCAAAGCTGCCTACCAGCTTGCTCAGCTTGATCTAAGTCACACTTGATCCAAACTTGTCCCTTCTTGATATGTTAGAAGGACAATATTCTTTCAGAATTTAGTGTTCATCAAAATGAAGAAAACTTCCTCTTTGACTTGAGTCTGTAATTTTTTTATTTTAAATGGGCTTAATTTGAAAAAAAATTAATTCTTTTTACCTTAACTATTTACTATGAAAAATTGAATCCTTAGTCATCATGTTTTTGACTGGGGATGAGGAGATAAATCAGAAATCTAGAGATCTATTAGCATATGAGCCTCCTAAACTCCTCCCATCCTGAGTTGCTGGGCACTTGTGTATCTCTGTATAATCACACTCCTACTCTAGGGAGATGATAAGAGCTTTTCTCCCACAGACACTGAATTGGGAAGTTAACATTTAAGGAAAAACCCTCCTAACATGTAAGAAATAATGCTTCTTGTTACCAGAGCTGATACTTCAGCTGTTCTTCCTTCTCTAGCTGCTCCTAAAAGCAATTCTTCAAGCTTTCTTTGTTGAGTTCTTTCCACAGCTACAAGAGAAAAAACATATGTCTTAATGTACCTCAGTGGTTCTCAACCTTCCTAATGCTGTGACCCTTTAATATAGTTGTGTGACCCCCCTCAACCATAAAATTTTTGCTATTTCATAGCTATAATTTGGTACTGTTATTAATCTTAATGTAAATATTCAATATGCAGGATATATGGCATGACCACTGGGGTGGGGTGGGGAGGTGAGACCCACAGGTTGAGACTGCTGCTCAACAGCTGGGTGTCATCTGACTGGCAATTCATTATGAAGATATCAGAGGACCTACCTGAGGAGTCCCCGGCACTCATACTGGACAGCATACAACCGCCTATTAACTCCAGCTCCAGGGGATCTGACACCCTCTTCTGACTTCTATAGGTACCCACCATACACACATGAAACATATTATGCAGATACACACACAAACTCATAAATAAAAACAAATACTTTAAAAAAAAACAAAGAATAAGTTGATCACAGTATAGAAAAATACAATATTTAAACTGAAACACAAATACTGTTAGATTTTGGAGTTCAATTCAAAGACACTAGGGATTTACTCATTATAAGACTTAGCGCCGGGCGGTGGTGGCGCACGCCTTTAATCCCAGCACTTGGGAGGCAGAGGCAGGCAGATTTCTGAGTTCGAGGCCAGCCTGGTCTACAGAGGGAGTTCCAGGACAGTCAGGACTACACAGAGAAACCCTGTCTCGAAAAAAAAAAAAAAAAAAAAAAAAAGACTTAGCATAGGGTCTGGAGAGATGGCTCAGCGGTTAAGAGCACTGACTGTTCTTTCAGAGGTCTTGAGTTCAATTCCCAGCAAACACATGGTGGCTCATGATCATCTGTAATGTGATCTGATACCTTCTTCTGATGTTGTGAGGACAGAGGCAGCATCCATACATACATAAAATAAATAAATCTTTTAAAAAAAGACTTAGCATAAATAATTATGAGCTTTTGATGATCAGGGTTAGTCAGTGTTCACTGTCTCAATAGCAACACGAATCACTCATGTGTTTTCTAATACAATGCAGTAACACAACAGGCAAGCTCACCTACTTAGTGTGCCTGACTCATCAGATGTCCTACCAAAATGTACAACTGTCTTTCCAACCACCCCCTCCTCACACATGCGTGCACATGCGCAAGTGTACACACACACACACACACACACACACACACACACTTGTTGAGATACAAGTCTCACTGTGGAGCTCTGTGGGCCCGGAACTCACTATAAAGACCAAGCAGGCTGCAAACTTGAGGCCACATTCCCTTCCTCAGTCATAGCTGCCCCCTCTTCACAACAGTCAATATTACATAAAGCAGAAGCTGGTATGCTGTCTCAAACAAACAACAGGGACTCGGGAGATACAACAAGTACAACGTCAAATTATGTCTTAGATCCAGATTGGGAGATGTCATGTAGACAGCTGATAAAATCTGTATATGAAATGTGCATTATATTACAAAGGTTGAGCATTCCTTATCTAAAAATCTTGAGTTAAAAAAAAAGTGTTTTGAGTTCAAAAAACTTGTAAACTTTCAGAGTTCAAAGTTTCAGAGATTTTTGCTTGTTTGTTTTGTTTTCTAGATTTTGGAGTATTTGCAAACTTTACTAGTAAAGTGTTATTAATACAAAATTAGACATAATCAAAGGCCCTTAACTTTTTAGGCATTATGACATTCAAAAGTTTTAGAATATGGAACCATTCCAATTTCAGTTGGGGATGTTCAGTGTGTGAACTAGATTTATCTATTTTATTGTATATGTATGAGTGTTTTGCATATATATACATATATATATATATCCATCCCGCATATGCATATACTATGTGGGTGCTGGGATGAAGCTGGGTCTTCTGTAAGAACAGCGTGTGCTCTTAGCTGCTGAACCATCTCTGCAGCTCTCAGTTTGTCCACTAGTGCTGTATTTTCTGATGTTGATCATTACAGAGTCAGCCTTTGGCACTCATGGGTTCTATCTCCGGGTTTAACCAATCACAGGTTTAAATGAAATACAATACAAAGAGTCTGTCCTGAGCACCATTCCTTGCCAATATTCCCAGAGTACGATACAACTGCTTACACAGAATCACACTGTATGGGTACCATGCACACTCCAGAGACTATCAGATTGACTTTCCACAGGGGCACCTGTACTGTCCAGTGAGGACAGAGGAAGTTTCTGCACAAAGGTGCTGGGACAACTGACACTTACACAGGAAAGGGCTCCCTTATAGCATATGTAACTTAAACTCAAAATGGAGCACAGGTTTATAAAAGCCAAAACTCTTAAGATAAACATCTTTGTGACATTAGACTAGGAATACCAAAAGAGAAGAACAAAGGGAGGAAGCAGATCAATGATTCCTCATCAATCAATCAACATACCTATATCAAATTGAACTTTTTAAAAAGTTAAAGAGCAGTCTCCAGAACAGGAGGAAATTTTTAAAAAATCATATGTCGGAAAATGGCCTTATATAAATAGCTCATAATAAAATAATTTCTGTACACTTTAAAGTCATATGGGAAGCAACCTATAAGTTCCACCAAAAAAAAAAAAAAAAAGATGCCATTGTATAAAAAGCACTAGGGTATCCATGTATTTTAGAGTTCACAGTTCTAGGATTTTTTTTCCTGCAAGCAAAACCCAAAGATAGTGTGGGGGGTTCATTGTGATTATAAGAAGACCCACATTCTTTTGTTATTATTATTGTTATTATTTCACACATTATTTACTGAATGTAGTTTCCCATCCCTCCAATTTCCTTCTGGTCTCTCTCCCACCTCCTTCTCCCTGAGATCCACTTCTCCTCCACTGAAGAAAGGGGAGGAGGAGAAAGAGGTGAAGGATGAGAAACAACACCATGGTGTAACAAGTTACAATAAGACTATATGCACAAACCCTCATATGAAGGCTGGACAAAGCAACCCAGTATGATGAAAAGGGTCCCAAGCAAAGGCAAAAGAGTCAGAGATACTCCTACTTCCACCGTTGGGAGTCCCACAAGAACACCAAGCTACTACCAGTGTTGTACTATAACAGAAGGCCTAGCTCAGAACCATACAGGGTCCATGTTTGTCGCTTCAGTCTCTGTGAGTCCCTAGCAGCCCTCCTTAGTTGATTCTGTGGGACATGTTCTTGTGGAAACACCTTGTTCTTAAGAGACATATTGAAGTGTTTGGAGGCAATAATGTCATTCGGTATGCAAATTTCTTTCAAGTGGTTCAACAACAATCAGAATCAATTCAGCATCAAATAGTGTTTAAAAGATAAATGAGATAGAGACAAGATGTTTATATGTATAATCTAAGCGAAAGACAAGAGGCATACGAGCTGGCACAAGTAAAATCATCTCTCTCTAGATACCATCACTTTAGATATTTAGGTGTGGTTCCCTTATGCATACCTCTATTTCCTATCTCTTTATGTTACCCAGTTGTCTGGTTTCTGGTCTACCTATCATCATGGTGAATTGTCCCCAGCACTTCCTAGAGTCTACAAATGGTGACTTAATGGTGTCTACAAGTAGCATTATATCTGGGGAAGGTGATCTCATCAGAACAGAATCACTCACTTAAGTCTTTATCTTCTATTTCCCAGGCTGGGAGCACATGAGCTGACAAATGATATTACCTGTGAAGTCATACAAGCCCTTGCCTTGCACAGCATGGGTTCCAGAGTAGCCTTAGAGCATGTCTTCACAACTCACCATTAAATCCACCTGTCAGACTAACCTAACATCCAGTCTACCAGGAAAAGCTCAGCCCTGGGGTCCCATGAAAAAGTCAAATGACAGGACAGGATCAGAAACAGTTACCTCACCTGTCGATAGATCACAATGTGTTAAAGGGCAAAGACCATATCCAATATGAGCCATGAACCCTTCCATTGCATGCTACAATGACTGGCAGATGATAAGTGTGGATCTGCTTATTCACTGAAACCAGTGAGCTCAAGTGAAAGTGCTGACCTAAGATGCGGGACAAAAGTGTCACCCTCGAAGATCAGCTAAAGGCAGCTGGATGTGACCAGTGCAAAGAAAGATCACTTCAAACCCACCAATGTGTGCAGTATGGGTTGATAACAATTCTCTAATATAGGTGCTTAACAAATAGTCACTATTTTTTATAACTATAGTATAAGCAAGAAGATTTCAATTGATTAGAAAATTGTTACAAGTAAGACTGTAGGTTTCATATGAAAAAAAATACTAATAATTACAAAGTTAACACCATTAAGTACAAAGTTGTATCACCTTTCTCTGAATTGCAAGAAAGAGGAACAGGATATGCATAAAGGTACAGCTGTAATTTTCAGACCTTATGTGCAAAGTAGAAATTACCTGGTCTAGCCTTACAGCAAAGCCTGGACCATCAAAGACTAATCCTTTACCTAAGCACAGAAGTGGTTTTGGTTTAAACTGTAGTGGAGAAATTTCTCTGTACTATTCAAGGCTAATACATCTTCTTAAATGCAATTAAATCTCTGTTGTCCATAGCAATTAACCAGATCCATCAAGAAGTGAATACTGGCATTACAGCACAGTGAGGCCCTGTGGACACCAAAATCTGCTGTGGAATGGCTGACAAGTCCAGCTCGGCAGCGTCTCCACCTTCTCCTGGGCACTTTCATGGCCACGCTGCAGCAGCTGATCTGACCACGTCCCCCATGTCTGAATTTTCTACCCCTCATTTGTTATGCACTGAAAACGTAATTTTAACCAGCTATATTCTTTTTTAAGTGAAGATTTGAATAGTCATAAAGCAAATGCTACAGCTTGGATGTGAAATGTCCCCCTAGTCTCACGTATCTGAACATTTGGTCCCCAGCTGTTGGCTGTGTTTTGGGAGGCCATGGAACCTTTGAGGTGGGACCTTGAAGAAATGAAATGAGCCTTGAGTTTCATAACCCAGCCTCACTTCTGGCCCTCTCTCTGCTTCCTGTTCCTCCACAGTAAAAGAACAATCCCACCACATGCACCCAGCACCATGGAGCCACTGCCATGCCTTCCTGCCATAGTAGATTTTATCCCCCTCACATTGTGAGCAAAGTACATCTTTCCCTCATTAGGCTGCTTCTGTCAGCTACAGTGCCACAGCAACAAGTAACTAGCAGAGTGAGGGAACAAAATGACACTAAGCAATGGCTTTGTAATGACATCAGAACAGAGGGATTTGCTGTCATCTACACTGGTGCTGCAGAGCTGTGTTTATGCACCTGTGGCCTCAGCAATAACAAAACAAAACACGATGCTTACCCTCAAGCATGTGCCTGATTTCTCTGTCATGGGTGGCTTCTTTTGCTGTCTGCCCACTTCCATTTACAACTGTAGTATCAGCATTGTATTCTAAAAGAAGCATTACCAGCTCCTAAATAAACAGAGAAATTATTTTAGTTCTTATCAAGCTACTACTTTATTATATAACAATCCTTTTTCAAATTAGTGATTGCTATAATTTCTAAAATAGAAAAAATATGTAAGATTCTTCATATCAAATCAATTATGTCTACAAAAATTCTGCTAATAACCTATTATTACTTAAACAATTCCCAACCCACAATTAATATATAGCCAATTTCTTTAGTTGACTTTTAAAAGTAAATTATCTAGGGCTAAAAAGACAATTCAGCAGTTAAGAGCACTTGTTGCTTGTGTGGAAAGGGCCCAGGTTCACTTCTCAGCATCTAGAGGATGGCTCATAACCATTCATAATCCCTGCTCCAAAAGGTATAAACATGGTAGACATTAACACATGCTGGCAAAAATTCACACAGATAACATGAGAATTAAATAAGTCTAAAAAAACCTTTTAAGTAAATTATCCAGTTATTTTATTAAAATAATGCATAATTAAACTAATATAAGCAAACAAAATCACAATTTAGAGAGAATTCAGTATATTCATTCATTTTTATATGGCCTGATGAGAATAGGAATTTCTTGAACACTTACATTTTTATAAAACTAACTTTAATATTTTAAGTATTTTCTAAAGTGGGCAGAGTAATGGGACAAATCACACTGAAAGAAGTCAATATTCAGCAAAGAAAATACTACTCGTGCTTACTCTGTGTGTTTAAATTTTGGAACTTGCAAATGACCAGTAATGGAGGAACATGTAAGTCCAGCAGCAATGAAACACCACACAACCTTAGGCAGTGACACAGAAGACCCAAACAACAGACACATGGCCATGCCCTAAGAGCCTGCTTCCAGGGAGGGCAGCCACATTCACCCTGAAACATATGCAGGGAGGTCTTGTCACAACACCCTATACTTTCCTCCTTCCTTTAAGGCCATAAAATCTCCTATATTATTTTTAAGTATTTATACAGTAGAAATACTTAAGTAATGTTTAAACTATAACAAACAAACATACATGTGCTCTCTTTGTTACTATGTGACAACCTCAGACATTTCAGCCTATTTCTTTCCAGACTGAGTTCTTCCAAGTAAGCTGAGCCTGCCTATGCAGCCCAGGCTGGCCTCAAACAATCGTCTTCCCTTGCTCTATCCAGGAGATAAGGCCATAGGAAATATAGGAAACAGTTAGGAAAAGCAGTAGCAGTAGTATTTTAGTAAAGGAATTTTTTTAAGGACACCAGTATTTCATGTCATTTTAGAGGTAATGGTTAATGAAAATATTTCATGTGAGAAAATGAAGAGCCCAGAACCTGATAAAAATTATTTAACAAAATTGTGGTAGTGGTGACACACACCTTTAATCCCAGCACTTGGAAGAGGCAAGCAGATCTCTGAGTTCAAGGCCAGCCTAGTCTACAAAGTTAAGTTCCAGGGCAGCCAGGGCTATACAGAAAAACCTTGTCTTAGAAAAAAAGAAAATTACAAATCATGTACTTGGTAAGAGACATACAAGACATACAAGGTATACAGAACATATAAAGAACTTTACAACAAAAAACAAAAAGTCTAATTTTAAAATACAAAGAGGAGGCATATGCCTGTAAACCCAGCACTGAGGAGGCTGAAGAAAAAGGGTCATAATGAGATCAAGACCAACCTGAGTTACATACTGACATCTTCTCTCAAAGATGAAAATAGATCATTTTTAAAAATAAATAAAATGGGTAAGATAGCATTTGAACAATCTGAGCCGCCCCCACCCCAGACTTCCTGAATCAAGGCTCCAAGTCTACTTAGCCACTTCCAGCTGCAGAAAGCAAGCTCTCAGAAAAAAATAATTAGTATCAAAATACAGATGTGTTGTGCAGAGTTAAAACCAGAACTCCAGAAGGCACCCTCAGGGACTGGTATCTGCCTTTATCCCACTGACATCACTGAGACACCCAGAGAGACAAGTTGGGTACGATTTCAACATCTCGGTAGACAGAAGTGTTTTCAGGGGCACTGCGGAGTAACTCTCCTCACAGTTGAGAACTTTCTGTAAGCCCAACTGTGCTGCTCCGTGACCCATCCAAGGCCACCTGCCTTTTGTAATGCTGCAGATACAAAACAATTCGTCATCTTCCTCATGCCTCAAGATCTGGAATTCTTTCTCTAGTCCTGAGGTGGTGTCCCTGGTGCTTGAAGAAACACCAACTGCACTTACATTTCCCTCAGTGAGAACCTTTCAGTACCTCCCCAAATTCTAATTATTGGCTTTCCTCATGCATTCAATACTGTAAAAGGTTCTACAGAGAAAACATTCCTAGACACCAAATACTAAAGGGAGAATGGAAACCTATCCTGTAGGGAATGGATCTTAGCACTAGGGGTTGGGAGAGGTACTGCAAATACCTTGCAAAGTCAAGGCTCTGACAAAATTGAAACAGAGATCATGACACTCACTGGGACAACCCCAGTCTAAAGGTCAAAGTGGAATTTCTAAAAGGACAAGAAAATGCCTTAGGGATGAAGCTTAGATAAAAAGCAGTGAGGACATTCCTACTCCTAAGTATAGAAGGCAAGAAGGGCCCACTGTGAAGTAACTGAGCACTAGTGCAGGCACTGCACGGGGCTTCAGTGTGGAGCATGGGAAGTTCCCCTATAGATGCAGACATCAGAGCCCTGAAGCAGGCAAGACAGCAGACAGGAGAATCTGGATGCCTTAAGAGAAGCATGGGGCGGAATCACAGATTCTAAAATAATCCCCTAGGAAGATCAAATGAAGCCAGAGGAACAGACTGGTTGGTTGAGGTGGAACATTTCCAAAGAAAAGAGAATGTTAAGAAAAACACGGGAAAAGGTCTCTAAGGGAAGAACCATCAAAGCAGCCAGAGAAGCAGCAGGAGATAGACCATGCTGACTCCTCCCAGAGAAGCGCTCAGCTTGTCAGACTGCAAAACATAAAAATAGAAACCCTGAGACTTAACAAACCACCAGCAACATCCCAGAGAATGCAGCTAAGTGACAGCACCGAGACCCAGACTGGAAAGGGAGCCAGGAGAGCTGAAAGGAGTGGAATTCTTCTAAACTCTGAGACAAACTCCTGCTCAAAGCAGGCTCAGTGCCCACACTATGTAAAGTAGACTACAGCCCCTCACTTTGTGCCACCATTCCATCTTCTTACCCTCCTCAGCCCTCTGCTCCCCTTAGTGTCTCCTTCCCTCAATGCAGGAAGGATGCAGTCCATTTTTCTCCCTATGTCTGAACAGTAGCCACTTTTGAACATTTATTCATAAATAAAGATGTTTTGCCTCATCTATTTCTGGCCAGGAAAGCACTTCTAGCAACTTGTCTAATAAGTCAGAAGACTAAAGTTTGTTTGTTCTGGTACCATGTCTCAGTGAACACCCACTAAAGGTGGGGACTGCACAGTCAAGGTCTCAGGAAAGCTAACACAGTCATGTCCCCAGCTGCCCTAGCTCCACCCTGTGAGCCACTGTCAGTCACTCCTCGCTTATCCCTTATGATGCTGTCATCATCACACAATACATTTCTGGTGAAGGAGAGGAAAATATCACACCCACAGTGCTTCTGAGCAATTTTCCAAGGAGTAATTTACATTGCATAGATCTTACCCTGTAAATGGTCAGGATTCTTTGGCTTTTAGTATATATGCTCACAGAATTGTGCTGTCATACACACTACCAAATATTAGAACATTTCATCACCCTCAGGAAACCTCATGCCCTAACAACCAGTCATCCACATTTGGTCTGTATGGATGTGCCACCTGAACATTTCAGTGAAAGAAACATACAGTGTTTGGCCGTATGTTATGGTTCCTTTCAGTCATGGTTCTGTTTGGATAGGCACCAATACAGCATTCCTCTGTTGCTGACTTTTCCATTGCCTGCTGGTGTGCCATACATTGCTTAACTGTTAGAAACTGATGAAAATTTAGGCTTTTATTTTTTTGGTCTGTTATAAATGATGCTGTTAAAAATATTATCATGTTGTTTTTTTTTTAAACTCTACTATAAAGTGAGTTGTAAATTTAAAAAAAAAATCACACACAAAAATTAACCAGACTCAAAGGTTATAAAACTCAATGAATTTTTATACAATTAGAATAGGCATTTGGAAATTGTAGAGCTTCACTGGATTTTATGCTTTCACTATGGAATGTATTTTCATGAATTCAGCCGCTTCTTAAAATGAAAAAATCCACAACAGAGTTAGAACTGGAAGAACAATTAGCTGTAAGTTCGCTTCTACAGTTCATGTCCATTACCTGCATTCACTGATTTAAACAGTCTCAAAACTCTGTGAGGTACGAACTACTATCCAAGCTCTGTTTAAAGATAGGGTACCTGAGCAAGACATTAATAAACTAAACGTGTTACATATTTGTAAGAAAACAGTTTAAACAGGTACAAAAGTGTAGCCTTCTGTACTACGTAAATTCAACAAAGTTCATGCCATAATGACAATCAACAGCCAAGTTCTACTCAAGTTAGAACTGGACACATGACTGGTTTTTACTTCTGTAATTAGGTCACAAGAGCCAGCACAGTTGACTTTAGTAAACGGAGACTGTGCTGTGTGATCAGAACCAGTTGACTCAGTCCTCTGGAAGGGGCTGGAAAGCCAGGCATGACATAATCTCAGTACTCAGGAGTGTGAGGCAGGGTTGCCATGGTTTCAAGGCCATCCTGAGCTAGAGTAAGTTCCAGGCCAGCCTAGGATACAGTATGAGACTCAAAATAGGGTGGAGGAAGGAGCTGGATACTTCTGGAAAAGACATCTCCATGGAGCTAAGCCTGAGTGTGGCCTATATAAACTTTAAACAATTCTCAACAAGCAAGGACCCCAGTCTTATGACTTCAGTGAGCTCTGCCAACAACCCCAGTGAGCTTCCAAGTGGCTCTAAGCCCCAGAAGAGAACAGTCCAGCTAACAGAGTGAATTCAGTCCCACGCCACCCTGAGCAGAGAGCATAGCTAGGCTATGCTGAGTTCTCCAC